AAGATCTCAGAGAGCATTAAATTAAATGTAACGGCCTACTTCATACAGTAGCAGATGTTTCCTAACGGTATATTTAATTGGGAAAGTGATAGAGAATGGTATCTTAGTGATAACTGTACCCTAGGGCAAAATTCAGGGCTGGAGGATGGGGTATATATAAGTCTAGGAAGACAAATTTGCATGGTAGAACCTCATCTGGCCAGAGTAAATTTTTTATTTCACCAGACAGTGCACAATTTAGACTCTCTGAAGTCAGAGCTACACATACCAAAGAGAACACTGAAGGCCACATCTGTGCATTTCCTGCTTTGTAAAGTTCATTCCTGTGGGTACCTTATTTAAAAGAGGAAACTTCTAGTCCATTTAGGAGCAAACTACCTTCCCCAAAGATAAAACTGAAAAATTATATTATCTATAGCCATCTTATCTACAGTTTTCCTTTTCCATCCCCTCCCCCTTTTGGTGACAGCCTTTAAAAACTGGAAAGAAGAGGAGATGACAAAGCGTTTGAATAGTGGCTCACATGTCGTGTCCACAGAAAACCAGGGCAGGGATGGGGACACTGGCATTATCATTGCAAGGAAATGAATGAAATAATCCAAAGCAAACCCATCCATTGAAATGATATTCAAACTCTGGGAGGAAGAGGTCATCGCCTCCTGAGATTTAACTGAGCTAGATCCCTTACATGCACTGGCTGATCTAAGCATCGCGACCTCCCTACGAGGTAGCTGTTACACAGCAGGCTCTGGGGACACCATGTATACGGCCCTGCCTTCGAGAGGGAGCAGGAGTGACCAGACCAGGCATGAGGTGTAACAAAGGTCCTGTGTTCTATGGGGAGCGTGTTCAGGGGACATGGAGTTCAGGATCCCGGAGCTAATGTCCCTCACGAATCTTTTCAGGAATGAAGCGTTTCTGAGGTCGGGCTTAGCTGGAAATCCCACCAGCATAGAAGGTAGCACTAAATGAATATGTTTAGATTAAATAGCTTTCTTACAATTCCTCACATATTACTATGTTTCAGATTTTGTCTTTAATCAGCAATGTCTGCAACGCTGTAAGGGAACTATGCAGCCAAGGAGTGAAATAAAGAATGTGCTCTAATGTGTACTGTAGACTCTAGTTAATAACTTATCAATATCGGTCATAAGTGTGACAGGTGTTCCCGTGGATGCAAGACGTTGGTTAACAGGGAAACTGGGAAAGGTGTCGGGAGAGGGAGCATATACATGGAAACTCTCTCTGCTTTATGCTCAGTTTTTTTGCTAAACCTAAAGCTACTCTAAAGATAGAGTATTAGTTAAAAAAATCTTAAGACAGTGTGAGGGGGAAAAAGACTGATTAACCTGAACAGAGTAAGGAGTGATTCCACATTGTCGAAAGATGTGGATTACTCTCATCTCATCCATGTTGGTTTATTATGGCATACTTTTCTTTTGCTTTTTTTTAATATTCTATATTATGGCATATTTTTAATTGAAATAGTATGTGCATAATAAAACGACAGGAAATGAGTGTAGACTTATTTTTATTTCAGAACTGGAGAGGACCTGAGAGACGAATAAAATGGTTTAGATAAACTTAGAAATTAAACAATTGTAACTGTCAAACATTCCAAATGTTTTCGAGAAGGGAAAACTGTGAGTGTGTTAAAAGTAAGTGGTGTGGAAAAAAAACATTTTATAGTGTCTAAAGATGCCATAAAACTCTCCAGCAATTTTTATGTATGTTAACACACTGAAAAGTACCCCAAATTGCTACATATGTCTGCACCTGATTTAATTTAGCTGGTGGTAATCTTACAGACTCTGAGGGTTCCTGAAGCTCTTAGCAACATAAATGATCTCTACTTTTTCAGCTATTTTAAAAATCAGGACAATCAATATTTCTCTGGTTCCTGAGAGAGGTGGTACAGTCCTGGGATTCGGGAGACAGCCTAGGTTCAAATCCAGCTTCTAATACTTGCTGGCTGGGTGACCCAGGGCCAGTTACTTAATGTTCCTTGGCCTTTCCTTTCTCATATGTAAAGTGGACACGGCAGTAACATTTATCTCGAGAGTGACTCAGTGCACATAACTCAGGCAGGGATTGGCATCCAGCTCTCCGGTGTTAACTCTTAATGAGTCTCAGTAGACTGATTTTAGGAGACCACAACTGGGCACCATTTTCAAGACCATCCACATGACCTTGCAGGCTGAAGGCACTGTGAAGTCACTGCTACGGGGATGCTGCTGCTGCTCTGGGGGAATTAAAGTTAACATCTTGGTCTCCTCCACTGGATAGTGAACTCAGTGAGAGCAGGAGCCCAATTGTACTCATCTATGTTAACAAAGTACATGTAAGGGCCTTCCCTGGTGGCGCAAGGGGTTAAGCACCGCACTATGGAGCAATCTGTAGCCTCTGCAGGACAAGTTCGATTCCCGGCCGGCCAGGGAGCAACCCACATGGCGAGCAGACCTCTCCTGTCTCGCCCACTGCTCCCCTCAGCGGTCAATCTGCCCGTTCTGTTCCCCACTCTGTCTCTGGTGAATCCTCTCACCCCCTGCATCTCTGGTCTGTACCCCAGCACTTGTATGCATAAATAAAAAAACTTAAAAAACAAAACAAAAAACAAAGTATATTTAAGGAAATATTTCTCAGAATAAGCAACCACAATGATTTAATTCTTACTGGGAAAGACCTTTTACTTTCAGCTAAGATGTGTACTGTTTACCTGAAAGTTTTTTTTTCCTAATGAGAAAAGTAAACCGCTTTGGGTTTAATCTACAATACTTTGGTCTAATGACATTACTGCATATCAACGTTTAAGGTCATCTGTGTTCTAAGGTATTTCTTGTAGGAAGACCTGATTATATAGGGCTCATTTCCCTGAAAACAGCCACTTCAGGTTACCTGCAAGCTGAGACCTACACCCTCTTTATTCTGTGAGAATTCTATTTCACAATACAATAGTTCTAGGTAACAGATGCAACCTTTTGGTTTTGAAGCTACTGTATTGAAGACTGAGATTTATTTAATCAAGATGGGAAATAAAGGGTTGTGATATCCCAAGAAGCAAAAAATAGTTCCCATTTTCATGTAAAGTACCCAAAATAAACACCAAGGGCAGAAAACCAGAAAAATACCCCAATGGAAAAAAGAATGACTTCTAAATAGCCAGTCTTTCTGTTTCATTTTAAGCAGCCAACAAGTATTTAACTAAATCATTTTCCACTAAAACTATTAAGATGGCTTTGCTATTGGTATCAGAACAGAATTTCAGAACCACTTAATTTCAAGAAATTGACTGAAATTCAAATCACCAATCTGGTGTATTTTAAATGGAGCTTTATGCACTATTTAGTCTGATTACAGCATTGAAGTAGCTGGACTCATAATCTAGTTAACAGTATTAAATCAGAGATGCCAAATTAATATCTTATCCATGTTGATGAAAATCTCTAAGATTATTGTGAGGATTGGTGACTGAAAATCTATCCCATTTTCTCATTGTTCATTGGTGACATAATTTAGATCAAATATATGTTTAGAATACATATATATTTAGAATTATAAAACCAGCAGGAACCCTGGAGGGTTCTAGTCCAATATCCAAATCATTACCTGACTTTATCAATGTTTCTATTTTCTAAATAAGAAAGCAAGGAGAATCTTAAAAATGTGGGTTCTAGAGTCAGAGAGACTTGAGTTCTAGTCCCAGGTGGGCATGTTATTCACTGTGTGCCATTATTTAATCTATTTTAGCCTCAGTTTTTTCATCTGTCAATGGAGAAATGACAGTACTAATTTCAGTCTTGTGGTAAAGACAAAATGAAATAAACAAGCAAAATACTCAGCCAGGAAGATGAGCATATCGTAACTATTCAGTAAATGTCATCATGGATTATTGTTTTGACTGTAAATCACCTCCTAAGGCAAGTAAGTAAGCAGCAACAGAAGCAGAACTTACAGTTTTCACACCTATCAGTTTTTTTCATCTAAACACAGTCCCTGCGATAAAGTTATTGCCACAGATAACGCAAGTATGATTCCACACCCAATAGAAGGGTAACTATTTTAGTCTTTCTGATACTGAAACAATCAAAATAATTAATTCAGCAGTCAAATATGGAGATTTCAATTTCAAACATGTTTAGTTTTCCAGGAGTAATGGATATCACCTGTTACTTTCATAACTAATTTAACTCAATTACATGCTCTTAAATATTTCCCGCCGAAAGGTGTGCATATAAAAAATGACACGTTATTATTAACCACAGACAAAAGTTAGGAATCACTAATGACCTTAAATTTGACTGGCTAGTTGCTGTATTCAATAATTCCAATACTTGTCATCTGTACTGTTGGTCAAATAGCACCATACCCTCTATACGTCTGCGTTGGAGGAAGCTTAAATGTGGTCTGCAGTATTAGCGAGATTTGGTTGGGCTAATGCAAACTCCGAGGAATCTAGCAGCCTACACCTACAATGGCAATACATCTGCAATGGCCATTGTAATCAACCTTCACTGTCCTCACAGGATTCAACTCAGAGTTAAATATTTTTCCTATTAAAAAAAGTTGAATAATTAATAAGTCTTATAAGGAACATTAGCTTTATGTAATATGTTACCGACACTTCTGCACTGGATAATTTTTAGTTAATTGGTGATATTTCCAGTAGATATTCTCAGACTGCCAAGAGGATGCTTAAAACACTTTCCTGTATTAAACCTAGTGTTTTTCTCCTAATCTGGAAAATTACAACATAAATGAAATTTTAAATATTAACAGTAAATGTAATATAGTATAAATATATCAAATGTACATCAACAAAACACAGTGAGATAAGCTCAAAAGGAAACATGCACAAAACCAAAACACCTTTTTATGTAACACCAATGTGATTCAGCAGACCAACAGATGAAGAAAACAGTAATTTGAAAAGTGGCAATTTGTATGCATACCCGGTATTTAGTATTTCAGTGACTAGAAATAAAGTGGTTTGGCAAACTTACCCGCATTTTTGCACAAGCATCTTGGGTTGATTCTGTCCCCCTGAGCTCTTTTATGAGCATAGAACCTAAATACTAAAATACAAAAAATTTCAGTGACTTATGGAATACAGAGTAAAAATATGAGTAGCCATTTAAAGACAAATTGTGAAAGTATTACTGGACTAGATTTTTCAGCTGTACATTGTTGCATGTCTTTTAAAAACCAACAGTAACTAATCTTAACAAGTAAGTGCATTTATAGAGAGAATGCAGCAGAATTCACCATAGTTCTGGAAGTTGAAAATCGCTCTTTATTACAAAACTGCAGCATTTTCTAAAGATGCCATCTTTCAAATCGTATTTAACTGCAAAATGGGGCATCTAAAAATGTTTTCCCTTTTTTTTTTTTGAGGCAGCAATGTCTGCAAAAATAAATCACACTACTATCTCTGTAATTACAGGGTTGTATGAGACAGCTGAGAAGCTAAGCAACATGCACCCCATTTGGGCTTAGTTGCATAGGTAATTAACATTAGGCTGTTCTTAGGCTGAGATGCAGTTTTGAACCTTTTTCATTCACAGCTGTGTGCCCTACACTTTATCCACCTGAGAAGGGGGTTGGGGATGTGCAGAGGAAGATCATCATTCCTGAGTAGGAATGATGGAAGAGTTGCTGGGAGAGTTGAGTCCTTGTTGCAAATGGACACTGGGGGGCTGAGTGGAGGTAGGAGGATGACAAAGTCTCCCAGAACTATCAACCACTGTGCATTAGGTGACTGGACGCCAGGCTGCCTTGGTACAAAACACTTAGGCTACAAGTTCTGGCTGGGACAAACTGTTTAGCAAAATGTTTGCCTTTCTACCAGATAATTCTTCCTCAACCTTTTAAACCCTTAACAGGGTTCTTTCCTTTTGTCATTTTTTTCCTCCCTAATTTCTTAAAAAAAAAAAAAAAAAAAGCTTGAAGTGTGTAGGGTCAGGAATGGACACAGTGCAGGTTTTCTGATCCAGCAGACCCGGTAAAACAGGAGTCAGAGTCCTGGAACCCTCAGTGGCTTTTTTGCAGGCTTTTATTTGGATTTACCTGGTACATGGCAGGCAGGGGCGCTGGGGGGCCGGGAGGCTGGCAGGCCTCCTAGCCCCCAGCAAGTCTTTACTCTTTCTGGGCTCTCCAGCCTTCTCTCTGCTTCTTTGCTCTCGGCTTCTCTGCTTCTCTCGGCTTCTGCTGGCATCCCCGTGATGCTGCCCTTAAAAGCCCAGTCTTAGCCCAGGTAAATCCCATCTACGCATGCCCACACCCTACTCCAGGTGCCCGCCATCAGGCATGCACTCAGGACCGCAAGGATCCATCATCTATCCTGATGGTGGGAGGGCAGAAAAGCCTGACATTTTTTCCTTACCCTACCATGTGATTTAAAAATGGAATTAAAATAACTAGGTAAGGATACTTCTTGATATAACTGTTGAAAGAGAGACCCTGGCACTCTATAAAGAAAGGGGCTGGGAATCAGTACTGTCCCCTGGGAAAGACCCCCATGGAAGATGGACACGCAGGGCCAGACAGGAGGGGCCTGAACAAAGGCGTGTTCAGAAAGGTCCAGAGATTTGGCACTTGAGCTTTGGAGGAGGAAGGCATTTCAATCCTACAGTTTGGGGACGATTACTATTGAAACTAACCCAGCGCTTCAAGGCAGATAAGCTGTAGAAGGTGCAGATAGCACAAGATGAAAAAAAGAATAGGATACAGCTGCAGGGTGTGATCCCACACCACTAAACCATCCAGTGCTGTAAACCGATGCTACCTCAATTAAAAAGAAAGAAAAAAAAAGGGCTCAATTACCATCAGAAGACCAGAATGCGTCCATCTTAATCAAATTAAGGAAAATGGTCTGGTGAGAGCCTTGTCTTTTAAGATATCAGGAAAGTTTGTCCTAATTTAAACGTTTCTTTTTAAGAGAAGCAGTTGCAAGGAGCTGCAGAGGCCTCAGCCACTTTTCCTGCTGTCGTCATGACAACCACCACCTGCCCCCAAACCTAGGGGATCTTTCAAACATGCACTTGTTCATATTACTCACAATTCTCAGGTAAGCCTGATACCCTCTCCTATGAACAAAACAAAACAAAACCCAAAACCCAAAACACGAACCACCCAGTAATACATAATCCTAAGGATCCCAATAAAAAGAATCTGGTACTTATATAAAGCAGAATACCCAGTGTTTTAAGATCACTGGTGAGTGAGGAGAGAAGTCTATTGTGTTTTATTTACAATAATTTCCATTTCAAGACTGCACCTCATTAATTTTCATTTCAAACATACAGTTCAATAAGAAGGCAAAACAAGAGTGTAAACTTGTAAGATTAAAATGTTACAAAGCCCTGTTTGCACTTTGTGGATAGAAGGCTACCTTTAGAAAAAGAAAGGGAAAACATTTTAGAAATTGCAAAGATGGACATTTTGGTATATTTTCAATATAAAAAAGGGAATAATCCAGCAATAGATAGTCTATCCCCATTAGTACCCAAATACTGGATTGTGGGTAACTTACAAAAGCTTTGTAATCACACGATTGGAAGATGAGCTTTTCCGGGTGGTGTTGCCAGTATTGCACTGGAGTTGAGGCGGTGGCTTCATTTGGAGGTCGCAAGGTAATGGAAGGTTCTCCCCAGTCTCCTGTCTGAAAATCACATTTATTCTAGAGGTAATATGAGCAGTAGGCAAAGTTCATTCCCTACAGCTAAGCCTGTGCTCACCTTAGGCATGTGTACTGTCAATATGAAAAATGGGTGTACTCTCTCTATAAAATTTACTATTTACTATTTATTATGGTTTTACATGTATTAGCATCATATTTTCCAAAGCTGAGTTAATTCTGAGGTGTGAAAGAAGGTGAATTATTTTTAGAATGATATCCTAAACTAAGTAATTTTAAGATTAAACATATTCATAAAGGATTTACACGTTCATCATTTTCTGTTACAACAGAAAAGAACAATCTGACTTTTCTGTTTTTTAAACTTCAGTTTGAAATTTTGAGTTTGACTTGCTCGTACATTCAGAATATACAGTTGTATGAATTTCTATTCCCAAATATGACATGTATCATGTACTGTGAATCATTTTATAGCTCTGGAGAAAAGGTACTTGTAAGAAAGATACTAAAGAAAATTTTATAAGACAAATTTAGTCATGGATGACAAGTTGTTTCCCTCATCTGAATTCATTTGTTTTTATATGCCACTGTGATAGCTGGGGTCTTCAGCTACCCTTCTCAGATAACCTAACGTATAAATAAAGATCTGATATTTAAATACCAAGCTTCATCAGAGGCACATATGCATATACTGAGGATTCTCATTCAGAACACAAGCACACACCCGCAGGATAGCATATCCTATAATACGCATGCTCACTAAGATGGACCTAGGCCAGAAGGACACCCACTTCTCTTACCATTTTCCTTGGGGTTAGCCTTACTTTAATAGTGTAGCGCCAGCATCTATAGTGAAAGGCCTGTGCTGGTGTTTCCTTTCTGGGCGCTAGTCTGATTTAGATACTATACATGGGAGGTTTTGTACTCTTCACTGGTAAAGATTCAGATTTTTCACAACTTCTTCCTTTTCAAATGGATGTAACTAAAACTAGAAAACGGGCAACTCTGCAGAGGTACTCACTTCTAACCTGGATCTGGCTGGTCTTAGAGGATGAGGAAAAAGACCTTCCTCAGGAGTTGGAAGAACGCAAGAGGCCTCATGTGCTCCAAATTCAGATAAACCCTTGCTAGAGACCTTGTTCTATAGAACACTAGCAGAAGGCTTGACCCTGTTGGATTTCTTAAAGAGATTATCAAGGAGTCTAGGGTAAGTATGCAAAATCTTAGATACAGGTGTATCTTTCTGGGGAGAGAGAAACTCCATAGCTTTCATTAACTTCTTTGAAAGGATCTAGAAAACCCCAAATGTTTGGAACCCCCAACATAAAGAACCACAGTTTTCTAGGTGTAGCTTACATAGTGTGTGTGTTGGGGTGGGGGGTGTCAAGGAATTCTAATTTTCTGTGCAGCTTGTATTTAAGTAGAATAGGAAGTGGCCCCCAGTGCTGGAAAATGATAGGCAAAGACGTTGCCATCTGGAAATTTCTAACTGACTTTGAAAAACCTGAAGAAAATTTTATAGCCCCTCAGGCATGCTCTTTAGGTATTTTCATAGGGACAGAGAGTTGAAAGCTTTTCTCCTTGAGATGGTGACTCCTAACACAGGAGGAATGAACTTAGCACTAGGCCAGTAGAACCTTCTAGTCCTCTCTCACGCTGAGCTACTCTGTGTTGGGTTTCTTCTAGTTGCTGATTTATTGGTGTACAGCTGTCCCAACTCTTTAGATATTAAGACTTTACCTGGAATATTTACTTTAGCACATCTTTTTCTATTTCATAACACATTCCTGAGTCATTCCTGAGTCTTTTTATTACATTTAATGCATGTTTATTTTGTAAAAGCAATAACTGACTGAGTGCAATTAGTTATAGAATTAATTTTTTTTGGCTTCTAATGTTAATCTTTCCCTTCTCCTTTAAATGTCTACATCTTTATTATCTTTTCTGTTTTTATTTGAATTAGTTGTGCTACTATGAAAAAAGAACTAGTTGTGATACTCTGAAAAGAGAACTATAAAATTCAAAATGCAGGGTATGTGGATTTTAATATTATTTTGAAGCTGGGTGTGATAACCTTTAGGTGGTAAGAGTCACAACTCTGGAAACATGCAGCTGTGAGTTCTTTATTCAGAACTCTCCCCAAATCTAGCAAATCATCCTCTGAGCCTCCCGCCATCCCCACTAGCCTTCTTCCCCCAACCTCCCCCCTCCCTTGATAAAGCAACAACAACACAGCAAACAGGTGTTGTACATTGAAGTCACAGGTGACACTGTTAACAGAACAACAGAAGTTTGCACGCAACTTCGTGGAATGATACAACAGGAGGAGCTGGCTGACATCAAAAGATCCTTCGATCCAGTGTCTGCGGATGTGACAACTCAAACCAAGCATCTTGGCTCCATGTTTCCCTGCCATTGTTTAGCTGAGATAGGCCTGGCAGAGCACAACAGGTAGTTTTTGAGAAAGCCTGAACAGACAGGAGCTGGGGGTATCATGGGTTCTGGGGCATGGGTTGGGAAAGGGTTGGGGGTGTGGAGGGGTGGGGTGAAGCTGGGGTTCTGGGGTATTTCAGATGTTAGTATATTAAGCATGCAAATCATATGCAAACTCATTCTCTGACTGTTGAATTAACTCAGGCACTTTCACAATTAAATTTCAATGTGAGTTCCATACACTTAAAGCAGAACTACAGCCAAATGCTGATCCAAATATTTACATTATCCACATAAGTTGTAGCAGCCATAGCACCTCCGGCTGGAGAGCATCCCCCTGTGGTAGCTGATAACCCCTGGAGACCAGTAGCAAAATCACTGAGCTGTAGGCAGCACCATCCTCTGCTCTCCTATGACTCCACTTTGTCCAGAAACCACAAACCACCTGCTTTGAATTCAGAATGATCTGACAGGGCCTCCCCCACATGCTCTGGTGGGAGATAATTACAGGGAAGAAAAATGTAATCCTTAATTTTCTTTGTGGTCTTGAGATACTGCTCTCGTCCAAATATTTAAAATTCTCTACAGGGACTGAATTTACCTTCGTGGAAACAGAAACTGAGTTTTGTCATACTTCTGCTATTTCTAGAAATTTGTTTTCCAACAGAGGGAAAAGTGTTCTTAAGATTGAATTAATAAGAAAATTAATTTCTTTTCATTCTGGAAATTCACCAACTTATTTGTTTAACCTTAGATTTAAGAATATTTTGAAGATTCTGTTTGCAAGTGTTGATTTTTTGTTCTGGAATTATTTTCATGGGAAGGAATGAACTTGGCATCCAACTATTGTAAAGGGCAGGCTTGCCCCTGGGATGCTGTTTTACCTGTTCAAAAATAATAATTCAGAGAACAAGGGTGCCTTAGGTTTCAACTCTCCTGGAGGTTGAATTAGAGCAGAAATAGCTGTAAAGGGCTAGGCAGAGCTGTGTCTATATGGAGTAGCTGAAGAGATCGAAAAGCAAATAAGGGTTTTTGCCTCATACATAAAATAATTTCAATCTGTGAAGCCCAGTATTAGATGTTATTAAATAGTACATTCGGACCTACATATGCTTGTATTTCTTTAGGTAAATTAAAGAAATTAGTTTAATAATTTACCAGTTTTAAAAAATGTTTTTTAAATAAGATGAAATTTAAACAAGACTAAAATATCTTTTGCCTCAAATAATGGTTAGTAACAGTAGATCTGAACATGGTTAACAATGACACAATAATATTTAATTAAAATAACAATAAATGGGAAATGTTTGGAATAATAAATTTTGTCATTTTTCAATGATTACTTATGGGCAGGCACTTTAGAGGGCTTAAGTAGTTACAGAAAAGAAATTAAGATGATTCAAGGCACTCTTACTAAATGTCTTTAGGCTACCCCTTTAGAGTTTAAAATGCTCAGGAGAAAACTCTTCCTTTAGGTTTATTTATTGAGTGATCGCAATGGTCCAAAGATTTGGTCATGGCTTAAAACCTTGTTTACTCAATATGTATTTCCTTTAGGATATCAACTGAACAGAAGAATGCACATCATTAACTATCCCTTCAAACCCACATAAAAATGAACCTTCAAATATAAAGGAAAAAATGAGATTAGAGCTTTAATTTGAGAGTCGATTCTATTTAAGAGCTATTTACCAACTGTCAACTAGAAACTCATAGTCTGGCTGAGTGTGAAGGACTATCATTGAGTCATACCTAATATAATGTAATTAAGTCAAATGTCACTCATGCCACCAGATAAAAAGTGTAAAATCAATAGCTGAATTTAGTTATAGCACCCACACATATATCCACAAAGGTCTACAGATCATTTTATTGAATGGCAGATTCAAAATGCAGCTCTTAAACTTTGCATTATTTCAAAAACCTCATGGTCTTGGTTCATATGTACCAGGTACCTAAGGCAAATGCCAGAACATGCTGTTATCTAGGTCTTTCTCCTGAAGCAAGATTACATAAGCTATTGTACATGCTCTAAGGATAAAAAGGGGAAACATCATTTCTAGTCTTATCTTCTTGTTGAGGAAAAGTTTCGTAAGCTGTCAGTAAATAATTCAAAATCACGATTATGACTTTACTTTCTAACCCGAGTAGAAAGGTATGGTATCTTCCAAGCCTTCTATTATTTTTAAAAAAAATTTTAAAATTAGGGTTTAATTGATTTTTTTAAATAGAAGCTTTTAAATCTTTTCTACTAGGAACTGCTTCCACCTACCTGCCTGTAAATTTAGATCTGAATATTAACAAACATTATTCTCTATTTCATCAGAACACTTAATGAAAAAATAAATTGGTTTTAAATGACAATTGTTATTTTAAGGTTTTACTTTCAATAATTCTGACAAATATCACAGCATACCTAAGATATATGTGACTACATTAACTTTCCATTATCTCTAAGACTTTGAAGAATGCTACATACAGCACTATGCTTACAGATATATATGAATATTTTGATGTGCATGTAAGGAAAGACCTCCTACAAACACACACACACGAAAGCAGGATGTTGCTGTAGTTCTTTTAAAAAGTCTTCAAGAGTAACGAATGCTGGTTTGGTCAACTGCAGTTGGCTATACTGAATTTGTTCCTTTGGATGAAAAAGAGCAGAGATGGCCACTTCTGAATGCAAAAAAGCACTTGTCAGCATTTGCAGGTTCAGGAGAAACTGCTGGACCACTGGGGGCACCAGAACCAGGCAAAGTACAGACACCATCGTCCCCAAGAGCCAGAAGTCCCATGCATAGGAGGAAGGGTGTATCTGATGTGGCACCCCAAAAGAGGCCCTTCACATGCCACTCCAAGAGCTCTGCTTAGTGCTTAGTGATTCTCAACCAAATGCCTTGATCTTGGCTCAGACAGCAGGCTACCCAATGGGAAAATTTAATAGGATTGTATTTAAAAATAGAAAATAGGGGAAAAACCCAAACATTTAGAGTGTTTGCTTTCCAAATGAAAATGAATTTTTAAAAAGTACACAAAGGTGAAATGTGAACTTTTGAATACTAAGCAGCTCAGAGTAAAGTGGGTCGCGATTTCACACACATTCCAAAGATCAATTCAGTATTTTCAAATGGAAAAAGGCTGAGAACCACTTTGAAGCCATAATGGAGCCTCTCTCGGCTATACTCCTCCCTCGTTTGCATAAAATTTATACAGAATTGCATGCAAATCAGACTCAGGTACTTCTCATAAGTGAAGTGCAAGAACTTTTGAAAACTGTCAGACACAAAGGAGTGAAGATCCCACAGATATGCAGAAGGACAAAACGGGGAAGAAGAACAGCCATCTACACATGCGTGTATCAAACACATCAATTTACAATTTACCCTTTTCCTTTTTCCTGCAAAAGCAAGTTAATGCAGACACCTGGGATGAAAGCCAAAACTCACACCGGACAGATTTGAACCATGGACTTTAGAACCAAGTATGTTTGTCATTTTAGGACAATGTTTGCAACATCAAGTAGTCACAAGGCACAGTCAACGAATATAATAGACAATCTCAGGAGCCATTAGACATCACGGATTTTCCGCATTGCCAGGACATGGTACCTGTAGCTACTGACAACATTTTGCAACACATTACATGGTAGCAAGTTCAGGAAGAAAAACATAACCATTTATAACCTTACATTATGAACCTGATGGATTGCTGAGAAAGGAAATCCAGCGTTCTGATTCGTCCATATTTCACAGACAGACGACTGCTGATATAAACAGAAAACTATCTTATCTTGTCAATATTTAAAACATGACAGCTACCAAAGCAGCATCCAGGAAGGGAAGCAGGAATACAGTAAAAGGCAAAGAAACATGTTTCTTGGAAAAAAAAAAAACCACAACAAACAAAAATCCAAAACTTAAAAAATGTTTTGGGGTGGTGTCCAAGGTTTAATAACTGACTTCCAAGTCATTCATGTGCTCAAGAATATTTTGGGGTGGCTGGAAAAAAGAGACCGTTAGGCATTAGTTTTATTTCAAGGGAAAGTGCTTCACATCTTGGAAAAAGCAAACGGTAGCTTACATTTGTCAAAGGGAATGGAACAAGGTCCCTCTTCATGTCATTCATTTCAGAGAATAAATATTTCCATGAGGTTCAAGAAAGATGGGAAACACCCTTTCATACAGGTTAAACATTTTTGTTTTCTTATCTTTAATGCCCAAGAACAAACAATGCAATAAAGCGACTTTATTGTGATTGAGTCATTGCTCCGTGTGATAAACCCAGAAGATTTTTCCCTCCAGACTTCTCAAGGGCAAGCTCTGTGGTTAGCAAAGGAAGTGTCAGGTTTACACCCAGCAGGTGCAGGAGGGAGGCTGTAGCAGAGAGAGGTTGGGGGTGGGAAGCTCAGTTCTGTCATTCAAGCAGAAACTTTGGGAAACAGCAAGTGAGCCTCAGGGGTCAGCTCCACACCAGACTCTGCACCACACTATTCACAATTAGTAAGTAGCAGTGTTAAAAGGCAATGTTTGCTAACAACCAAATGCCAAATGAATCCCCTCTCCCCCGCCACCGCCACTCCAGTTATAGCAGAATTCACCAAATAAACCTACAAGGATCCCAGCTCGACCTTTACAGAGTACTTTTCCTGAATCCCACCACTCTGAAGACACTGTGAAATTGAATCACAGAAAATGGCACAGTGCCTAAACTATTCGGTAAGCACTGTGAATATTCCCAGAATCACAAGCAGACCGTACAAAGATCAGTGCAGGAAGGAGATAAGAACATAACCACCATATGTTTAGAAACCTGGAAAAAAGTAACATCATCAGCAAATGAGTGAGGGAAATAAAAGCTGATCTTTGGCCCGACCTCCACTCCCAGGCACGCCCACCAGGTATTTCACATTTCTCTGTCCAGTTACAATAGTCTCTCCATACACACCTATACCTTTGGTTTCCATCCTTTCTGTCATATGGAAGGTTTCTGGGGACAGACTGTCAGGTCTCCCAGTCTGGATAATGGCTCCATGCTTTAGTAGGGCAGCCATCTTCACTGGCACAAAACACACTTTGAGGGTTACCGAGACCTTTTCAGCACCCTCCCCCCTAGTTCTGAGCTAATTCTTGTACACAATTCACACCTTCGAGATGCTCAGTCTTTTTGTGCTAGAAGTAACCCGGGACTACCTGTCACCTGTTGGATGACGACACTGACTTGGGGAGGGGTGAAGGGCTTGCTCAGGGCACACAGGGGACTGTCACAGCAGCCACCGCTGGGAAAGCTGGGAGGGTGCACCAGCCCTGGCACTGACCTCACCAGAAGCCCGAGGGACTCCCCAGTTATATGCAACTTGTTCTGAAACTAATCCATATACGTGCAACCAATTCATGAAACAGTCTCAACTTCCTAGGAACCCAAATACTTCAAAGTTTTTGTTGTTCCCCAAAGGGACCTTGCTGGTCCCCAGGCCACTGAACCCTGTGGGCATTTGGGCACAAGTCTTGGCCACTGTGAGTTACAAGAACTCATTTTGTATAAAACTCCAATATCATATTGATTCAAAGTCTGCCCTCCCTCACTATTGGCCAGTTCTGGGACTTAACAAGCTCGAGGTGGGTAAGAGGCTTGATCCACATTTTGCCTTCTTCCTGTTCTTCTCCTGGAGCAGAGAGGGGTGGGGGGCACATTCACCCCAAGCTCCTTCACAGCCCTACTTGGGGAGGTGGACAACGACCTCTTTCATATGTGGCTGTGACTGAATTTTCTACAATGGCAGCCTCTGCTTCTCAGAGCAGTGCTAACCAGGCCTCAAAGCTTTATGACCCCAAGCCAGGTCAGACTTCCTCCCTCTGTCAGGGCTTTGCTGGGTAGGGGGATGGGCCCCCACTGTTGTGAGAAATCTGGCTCCAGCTTGGCTCCCTCACCCCCACTCAGCCCTTCCAGCACCTCGACAGGCCCCCTGCACAGGACACAGAGGGGAGGGGATGAGCCCAGCCCATCAGCATCCCACCTGCTCCCCACCTGCATCTCCTTCACGAGGCAGGCTGCTCAGGGACCACTCCCCTTCTCTGCCAGGGCACTGCCTTCCGATTCCCTCTTCCTCAGCTCAGATGTGCTTCCAGGAGTCCAGCTGTGGGAGGGGAAGCCAGTTTGCTGTCTGGCCGGCTCCCTCACTGTGCATGGGCATCCCTGTGGGTGCTCCTCTCACCAAGCAGGAGCGGAGTGTCTGGGCACGCGGTCTCCCACGGGGAAGGAGGAAAAACCTCAGCTCTCTCTGCAGTGACTCAGCTCATTCCCAGCCCTGCCCCAGCACCAGCCCTCCTTGCATGCACAGGAGCTGATGCTGACGGCGCAGGATTCATGAGCTCTTGGCGCGCCCTGGTCACTCCTGTATGGGCAGCTTTCTCTTGGGAATGTGAGGACTTCGTGCCTACAGGAAAATTCCCACTTAACATCCAGGTACACGAATCCATCTTCCCACCGTCACAGACAGTGATCAGAGAGTTAGGAGGGAAGAGAGGGTCTCACGCCATCCTTGTTTTCTTTTACAAAGTCCATATTAAAATTTTCTCAGTGAAGGAAAAAGCCCCACCCCTCTCATAAACCAAAGCGAGCTACTATGTGGCTTCCATGTGTTCTCAAGGACTCCCAATAACTATTTTCATTTATTAGCTGTTTCAAGCTTAGAAAAAGTAAAACCTCTATAATTTCCAATAATGAAGTGACTCAAAGCAAATGGCAAAAAGTCGGGTTTTTAAACCAGAGTTTAAAATAAAGGCAGTTAATTATGTCCTAGTTAGGAAGGTTGTTGACTTGAAAAGCTAGTACATTGCAGATATCACCGTAATTCTGTTGTCAGAAAAGACGTGATCATGCTCGCAGCAGTCAGTTGGGATGGACGAGCTGTAAAGGGCGTCTTCACGTTATGAAAAGGTTTTTCTTCTAGACATACGGATATTACGCTGAATGCCAGAATGACTTTTAAGTGCAAGAGAATTGCCACTGCAGAATTTCATGATATTTAAGGAGATCATATTCCAGGGTGCAAGATATACTGCACTACTGAGTTTTGAAAAGTTCTGAAGAAGAAAACCCCAGCAATTAAATGTCATTTGGGGCCCAAATTCTTAGAATAGTAGTGATGGAAATCTAAGTTTTAATTAAGCTTTTGCATGTCTTCATCTGTAAAGAAGAGCAGCACAGGGCTTGACCTACTTCTTTCCCCAGGTTGTGGTGCAGCCCATGGTGGCTTCAGGAGAGAGGGAACTTTCACAGCTCAGATTCTAGAACAGAGTTGGCCACCAAACGTATTAACTGAATGAACCGAGTCAGTGAGTGTGTTGAATAGTAAAGCCAAAGGTAAAGTGCTACAGGAACATTAATTACTGCTGTCTGCTGTAGCTGATCTACTTTGCTGGTGCCACTGATGCCTTCAGCCAACTGCATCACTTCTGCTAGAATGCACCAGAAATTACCCTTGCAGACTTCTTAGAAAAGTTCTCATTTTTCCTGATAAAGGCTGAAGCAGGGCTGCCAGTGAGAAGGGACATTTGTAACCAGCACACCCCTATAGGAAAGGGGTAGTTTGTAAAGAGCTTGGAAGTAATTAGGTTAAAAGATGTTGAACACCCTCTGCAATTTCATTTGCTTATTAATTTTCTCTCAATGCCTTTTATCCATATATACTCCAAAAGGTTTATTTGAACCCGAATTACCATGAAATCCAAATAAATGGTGACTAAGACTTACAAGTCTTACAAGTGAGATAGTTATGTGTATTTTTTAATGATGAAGCTAACACACATTTATATTGAAAGTGTATAATTTTATCATTTGTTCAGCCCTTTCTCCTGATTCTGGAAGTATCTGCTTAAAAAGCAACACATACATCTCGTCTTGTTAACATCCTGTATCTCAAGTTACCACGAATCCAGTTCAGAAAATAAAACACATTTGCATTCAAATCTAAGAACAAGATAAAAAAAAAAATCACCTATCTCCAAAGTTTTCCTTTGAAGGTGAACTTCTTTTCTGCTCAGTTGGTAGCAATCGATTCTAATGAATTCTCCTTCATCAACTGTCTCACTCTCTTCACTGGAACATTCTCAGAAAGTGCTACAACGTCTTCCACTAAAGCCCAACAGAACCCTTTCTTTGACCCCACATCCTCCTCAAGCTTCTGCTCAATTCCTGTCCTTTTTTTAAGTGAAACTCCTCAAGAGGGGTCTCCATGGTCTTCACTTTTTAACCCCTGTCCTCACCTGAGCCCACTCTATGGAAACTGCTTTTCCCAGTAACCTCTGCAAACCCACCTTCCATTTTCCTTGCCCTCCCATTACACCAGACCACACCTTCCATTTCTCAGCCTCCTTTGTTGGATCCTAAGTTGGATCCTATGACCTGTTCCTCCGATCCCAGGGGGCATCAGTCTTTTCCCTTCTCTGGCTACACCAGATTCTTTCATCCCGTCCTGATGCCCCAAATTGTATTTCCAGTGCAGACCTCTGAACTCCAGACTCAGATATCGTCACACCTCTGCTATTTAACAGATGCCTTAACCTCACATTAAATGCCCCCCACCAAGCTCCTGAGCTCACTTTCCCTATTAGCTTTCTTTTCTCAGCAAATGACACCTTCTTTCTCCCAGCTGCCCAGTCTCAAGATGCTGGAGCTGTCTCTTTGTGCACATGTCATCTTCAACCTAGAGGCAAATCCTATGGAATCTACTTCTAAAATCTTGTCACCCTCCTGTCACTA